GCATATGCATCCGAAGAAGTGGGCTGTAGTCCACGAAAGCTTATGCTCTAATAAATCTGTTAGTCTCTAAGGTGCCACAAGTACTCCTATTCTTTTCTCATATATGACACTCCTGTTAATATACCCAAGAATTATATTAGCCTTTTCTGCACCTGTATCACATTGTTGGCTCATATTCAATTTGTGATCTACTACAACCCTCAGATCCTTTTTGAGAAGTACTGCTTGCCTAGCCAATTATTCCCCATTTTGTACTTGGGCAAATTGATTTTTTTCTTCCTAGGTGTAATACTTTGCACTTGTCTTCATTGAATTTAATCTGTTGACTTCAAACCCATTCTGTAATTTATCAAGGTCATTTTGAACTCTAATCCTGTCCTCCAAAGTGCTTTGAGTTTATTAGCTTAGGGACAGGCATCTCCAGCTGTCTGGGAGACAACATGAACAGGCCTGCTTAGGCAGATTAGTGCCTTTTATTCAAGAATTGGGTGCTACAAAGTTATATTTGGCTCCTGTCTCCATCTCGTGGAGATACTGAGAAATAACACTAGTGCTTTTGGCATGCACTGTACAGAACCCTTTGTCAAATAATCTCAAAGGCAGGTGAATCTCATAACTCCCAATTTGCCGATGGGGAAACTGAGGCATGGATGTACATTACTTGCCCAAAGCCACCCAGCAAGTTAGAAATAGAATTCAGATCTCAGCTCCCAGTTCCTTGCTCTTACTACTATGCTATGCTGGTGGTCTGTCTCCTGTTTTCTGGATTGGCATATTTGGCTCTCTAGAGTTACACTGACAATTCATCGGTTACCACAAGAATCTTTTATTGCTTTAGATACAAACAACTGGGTGGAATAGAAGAGCATTGTGCATTGTAGAGGAAAGACATCAGAGCTAGAAGTTGTGGCTTGAGAATTGCTCTGTCTATGCTGCTTGATAATTTGGATGCACTGAGCTTCCTGAGATAAAAAGAGTTTATTTTCTTCTGTCTCTCTTTGGGCTCTTTTCCTTTGTTTCCTTTTTTACTATTTTTTTAGCTTGCTTCCCTTTCTTTCAGGTGGCTTTGTGGGGGGTGATGTAGGAAGAGAGGGGAATCTGTAAAGAAAAGCAGAATGGCTGTAACAGAGAAACAAGTGGTCTTAGCATTAAAGAGCCCAGAGGAGAGTTTTGAAGATAGGGGAGAATGCAGGATGTGATTAACCAGCACTTGAGACCAGCACAATGGTAGAAGGAAATTAGACAGGAATTATTTCAGAGCTCCATCCATCTATCCCAGCAAGATACTGAGTGACAATACACAACCAGCGGAACACAGGGTAGCATATCAACATCAGAACAACTCTCCCGGGCTGAATCCGCTCCAGGGACGGACTCTTACCTTGGCCTTGTCTAGGCTAGGAAAAAAGGGTCCTTTTTTCAAGTCAAATTAGCTCTGCTGAGCTCATTTAAAGATTGAAAACCCCACTTCAGGCTAACCTTGACCTAAGATATAAAAAACTCTCCACATTCATGTTGAATAGGGTTTTCTGTGGAGTAATAAGCTCCTGTGACCTAACACAGTTGGGGGTGAAGGGGAAAGCACCTTTTCCCCTAGTCTAGAGGAGGCCTGAAAATGGATGAGCCCTTTTGTGACTGTCACACCACGTCTATGTTAGGAAGGTTTTCCTTTGGCTTTGTAAACACCAACAGGGAGGTTGTCTTTACTTGAGATATTTCAGAGTAACAGCCGTGTTAGTCTGTATCCGCAAAAAGAAGAACAGGAGTACTTGTGGCACCTTAGAGACTAACAAATTTATTAGAGCATAAGCTTTCGTGGA